TGTACCCGAATCAGGCAACGGCACTGATAAGACTGGCATTTCCATTGTCTCGGTCGGTACACTTACTGCGGTTGCTGGGTTGCCTATCGTCTCTCCTGAAGGGACTCTTCTTGCCGAAATTTCCTAATGCGCGGTCTAGATTGTATTATACGTCAATGGTTTAGTGGTATATAGCTGCTCAAAACCAGTGGAGAAAGGTCCAAGTAGAGGAGGTGTGATCAGCTGATTAGCTGGTCAACACGGATGTCCGCTCGGAGTCAAGGTAAACGACCTTGAAAAAGCCACCGTCTGCCGTCTGGAGTTTCCCTTTCGTCAAAAATACTGAGTCCAGTGCCGTGGCGCGGCGTGCTTTGCAATATATCCATTGACCCACCATTTAAACCTATAAAAAGGATCGATGGACAGGAAGTTCGCAACCAACTCTTCAATACTCGATTCTTTACCATTGGTTCGAATGAGGAAATATCGATAATTGATCATTCACGCCTCGCCATTGCCCGAGTCAACAGTCTTCTTCGCGTGGAGAGCTCAGGTGACTTTCTCTGCTGTGCGAAAGAAAAACGCTGTATGGGCTTTCAGACGCTGCCAAATTTTGTTTGAAAAAGTACGATTTTTTGTGTATTTTTCTCTTCGAATTTGTGAGAGGATTTTCTCCGCTCTTTTAGAGAAAGTTAAAATGTCAAGAAGTAGAAATTTTCAGCATGGACTTCGTTTTGCGACGAGTAACTGCTATTTCTGGCTCAATTTGGAAACACCGAATGTTCCACTGGTTTGCCCGCGCAGATAGGTGCTTTCATGGTTGATTTTGTGGAGATTTAGTTCTTAATGAGAAGTTACTTTGATGGAAAGTTAAAAAAACTTATTCAGCAAAATTCCTCACATCTCTTGGGAGGAGGTAGCAGACTTTTAGAGGGCCAGCCCCTCCTCCGGCCACTGTATTCAGGGTATGTACCAATAGAAAGTATCCACCTTGAATATTTTTTGAACGTATTCGAAAATCTGAAAACGCTAAAACACAGGTTCAATATTTTAAAGAGGGGACTCATTCCCGCACATTTGCATTTTTGGTCCCCCTCAAAAATGTTGAACACGTGTTTCGGCGTTTGTCGATATTCGCGTACGTTCAAAAGATATTCAAGGTGGATATTTTCTACTGGCACACCCTGTAGTTCCGCTAACGACAGCTCGCAACTTAATTCTCTCCGAATCAGGGGGTTATTTTCTATCAAAATTTTAAAATATAATTTGTCGACGCAAACTCGACAAAAATATTTCTCGGATGCGAACTAAATCTCGGGGGGTTTAGGTTTATTTTTCTCGTGGATAGCCAAAATATTCTAAAAAATAAGCTATCTATCGAAAAACCGGTGACATTGGATTGTTCATGCGACGTTATTGTTTAACACGGCAGTTCTCACCTACTCTAGACGTTCACAAAGAATCTAGAAAGCTGGTGGCATTCTTGCTACATTGTGCTGAAAAATCAGCCCTTTTTCTCCACTGAAAACCACATAAATATTCATATTTTACCGTGGAACCTGGCAACCTTGACAGGTAAATTGGATCCGTCGCCGTCGCGTGGCCATCATTTCTCTCTTTGGTGATAACTCAATCGGGTGTGAAAAAAAGAAAAGATCTATCTCACAGGAACAATAGCCCAGTTTTGTGCAACAGCGACTAATTAATAAGAGGGCAAAATCAGCTTGACATGCCATCGTCTGCGCATTGTTGAAGCGTCTCCAAATCAGTCATCGAAAAAAGTGAAATTAAGCGTACCTAGCAATTAATGAAGGACTCCTGAGTTGTTTCACCTGATCGATATAATAGGCACCATGAGGGCAGATTGAAGGGGCACCCTAAAGCTGAAAAGAGACCCGGACCCATCATAGAGAAAAGAAGGTGATGGTTGCATTTCGGGCATCTTGAATTTTTATGATGACGTATAGGTCGGTACGGACGATTTTTATCATCGATTTTTCTGGAAATGGTGTAGTTTATGGAAAAAGGTCATTCTATATGAAGTGTTTGGAATTATATCATGAGTTGATTTTAGCAAAAAATCGGACGTTATGGTCCATTTTTCATGCTTCGAATTCAGGATTTTGCTGATGTGCCTGTGCTGTACTGACCTACATCCCGGGGTAAAGAATCTCAAGATGAAAACACCTCCTTTTTTTTCTCCATGGGGGCCCATACTCAAGTAGCAATGATCGCGATAAGTTACGATTTGATCGGAAATCGTGATTTTATAAACGTCGATTTATTGGAATATTTGAATAAAAAAATTGTGATAAATTGCGATTTCATCACATAAATTTGCAAAAAAGCGCGATTTATAGCAATAGAATCGAACAAAAAATCGTGATAAATTTGGATAAAATTCCAATTTTATACCGAACGCGATTTCATAGAGATAAAATTGCGACAAGATCGAGGATATCATTCAGAAAGTGATGATGTAAAAATTGGTAAAAACTGGCAATAGAATCTGTGTTCCAAAATACCATAGACCTACAGCCGGCTGTAAGATTTCCTATAGCTTCTATAGCCGGCTACACAATTTCTTATAGCCTTTTATAGCCGATGGCGATTAAGCAACAGCCAGGCGATAAAGTGTATGCTAAACGTTACTAATTACGGATGCTAGGACTTAGTGAGTTTTTGGAATACTGCTCTCTTTTTGGGTCGTAGTATCTTGATTTATTTTGCGAGGAAAGCTCCGTGCTTTTGATGGATGCCTGCCATTACTAATATATTAGATCGCCTTCAGTTTCGTATGATACTGTGCAATACCTCTGGTGTGAAATAGTTGCTTCAAGCGCCGTGGCAGGCGGGCAGCCAGCGCGAAACACGCATTGGCGCCTACAAACCTAACAGGGATACTTCACGCATTGCGCAACGCGTGAAGTATCCCTGTTAGGTTTGTAGGCGCCAGTGCGTCGCCGCTCCGTTTTGTGTTAGGCTGTAATATTTAATCTGGCGGAGTCAGCGTTATTCAACTCATGATTTTGAAATGTTTGCACATCCTGTATGGATTATTCTCATTTTAATTGATGAAAAAAAATATGTAGTAAAGGAAAATATAATGTGTGTTTTGTAAATATTAAAGTGGTTCTGTATCAAACTTAATGATTTCCAAAGCACACGAATTTCTACACAATTTCTTATAGCCTTTTATAATCGATGGCGAAAAAGCAACAGCCAGGCGACAAAGTGTAAAGCCCGGCGATAGGAACTATAGCCCGGCTGCATAATTTTTTATCGCTTCGTATAGCCCAGCAGTATGATTTTCTCCGCATTCTACAGCCAGCTATATGATTTTCTATAGCCTTCTTTAGCCGGCTATAAGAATTCCTATGGTATTTTGAAACGCAGCTGTTATCGCCAAATTTTACCAGGGATATGTTTGTTGCCTATTTTTTTTTTTCGAATCAACCACCAAAATGGAACTTTGCAATCTCTACAAATCGATGGATAAACTCCAAAACGGCGTACCTCGCTAAACAACGATTAGCATGTCCATTGATTTTTTGTAGGTAAAATGATTAGTTCAGACCATCATTAAAACCAAAAAACGTTATCTAAGTTTTACATCGATTTGTAGAGGACGCACAAGGAATTAGCGAATGAATATCGTTTGTATAATACAGCTTAAGCGTTTTTTTGTTCAGTCATAATTGGCACGACATGGTGCCGATGAAAGTCGCTCATTCATAAATTAACATCCGGTGTTGCGATTAAGCAGCTTAACGAAAGTCCGAGAGAAACGCCGTATTCGGAGTTTGCATGAATGAACCGTTAAACAGTTCTTCATTCGCTGATTTAACGTGTAGCGAGAGATTTGACTGATAGAAAGTTTGATGAACCATCAATATTCATATCCTCAGCCAAATGCTTTCACTCCGTATCAACATTACGACCTGGGAAAAAATGTATTGTGTTCAGAACAATACAAATGTATTGCACGGCACCAAAAATATAATTGAAGGGCTTGGAGGACAAGGAGCATAAATGCAGTTTTCGAAAAAATTTAGATACTTTTAATGATTTCGAGTAAAACTAGTTGTAATGCATATTTTGGGGAAAATTCGCGCCCAAATTCCAATTTTTAAGCATTACGAAGTCAGTTTGAAGTTTCTCTCCGCCATGGGGATCCATGTAATTTCGAAACTTCAAACACGAGATCAGTGCAGGAAACACTATTATAGGTCTTGATCTGTGTCAGGTCAGTGCGCATGAGACTGATCTCAGGGCAAACACTGATCAAATCATCTTCAGTCTTCATGAGCACCGAGCTGACACTGATCAAGACTAATATCAGAGTTTTGCACTAATCTCAGTGGCACTGACTTACGTGATATACAGGGTGTCCCAAAAGTCCTTAGTTAGCTCGGAGCTTGTAGTATAGAGATGTCGCGACAAGATGGAGGATAATCGTTCAGATGCTCCTAGCGATTTTACCGCCATAATATCGAAAAACTGAGCAAATTAATTTCAAAAAATCGCTATTTTTCCGCTGAAAAATGCTATTTGAGTAAGCTGACACTGTCCAACGTTATGATTTCCACGTCAAAGGACACAGAAGTAAGACGATCGATTTTCATTAAATCACATGGAAATCTGCACCGAAAAAAAAGTGAAGTTGATTTAACATTCTGTATGTAAAAAAAACGTACTAGAACTTAAGAAATGCTGAATTATCCGCCACAGCAGTTACTTTAGCAATACCAGGATGTGAAACTAACTGCTGTGGCGGGTAATTCAGAATTTTATAAGTAGGTATACTCGCACACTTTTTATACATCCAGAATGTTAAATCAAAGTCACTTTTTTTTCGGTGTGGTCATTTCCACGTGAATCTACACGCTATATCTATAGGAGGGCAAAATCTGGGACACCCTGTACACTGGAAATCTCCGTGGGAGATTTTGAAGAGTACGAGTGGCGGACATGGACATATTGGACGTGAGAGAAAGAGAGCGGCGAAATAGGGATCTGACCTGCTCGACGTCGAAGTTCTGGACGGTGGGTAAGTCGGGGCATCTGCCGAAAGACGGGCGTTGGGCCCGGACGGGGTCGGGGCCCCAGATGAGGAGACAAGTCCAGAGGAAGATGGAAGAGCAGAGCGACGCAGTGGCCGATGATAACGTCCTCATCGTAGGTCACTTTTCACTCCACCCGACTCGCGCACTCGCACTTTCCACTGGATTTCCCGCTGCGGCGTCCGGAGATGGGGATCGCGATGAGGATGAGGCAGGAGGCGCCGCGCACAGAGAGAGATCGCATCGTCGCACCCACTCCGCGACACAGATCCGCGTCGACTGACCAGACCAGACCACCGACTCAACGCGACGCCAGCAGACCGCCCCGGCGCGGCGCGGCGCCCCGGAGTCGAAGCCAGACCGTCTCGAGCACTCGCCACCACCGCGCGTCGCACAGTGCAGTGCTGCCACACGGAACAAATGCATTGCTCATTTCAAAACGCAATTCTTAAAAAAAAGTGACTGGAATGTTTCGAATCTACATTTTACAATACCGCCGTGCTAAGGAAAAACGCCGTATGAACATTTCAAAGTTGCAAAATTTCCTCCAATAAAATATGTGCTTTCAAGGAGATTTAGGGCAGTGGCGTGGCGTGAATTGCGATATATCGATTGTTACGCCATTTAAACCTAGGGAAAATGATCGAAAAACAGAATTTTCGCAGCGAACACCTTTATAATCGATTCTTTACCATTGATTTAAATGGCATTACAATCGATACATCGCAATTCACGCCACGCCACTGATTTAGGAATAGGTACTTTTCTTGGAAATCTTCAGGAACTTCAGGTGAAATTTAGAGTACCTTTATAGACGAAGTATGGCCATTTCTGTTCCGGCTTTTCATTGGTCGAGAGCGAACAGGCTGACACGATGCTCTTAGGGCCGTAAATAAACTAACAAGATGGCTGTTATCAGCAAGCAAGATTGAGGTTATGCACATCTTACATCCTCCTGTGATAACGGTGAAAGGCGATTTAACAATGTTTTCGTGCGAGTGTGTGTGTGTCCCTTTGACGAGCCGCGGATTGCCGCATCTGATCAATGAGTGGGAGAGAATTAGACGATAAAACGGCGGCTTGTCAAAGCCGAGTGTGCTCCTTTGACGTGCCGCATCTGAGCAATGAGTGCGAGAGAGAGAAAGGACAAAACAGCGTATGGACCAATCCAAGTTGAGCCTTAGTCCCCGTTTACGGCCGTTCTTTCCAGGGCTCATGGTCGGAAAGCACTCCGGTGTTTTTTCGGGGCACCCGGATTCGAGCTCGCCACTACCACCGCGGACCAAATTACGAGGCCCAGCCTGTATTTTCGCGAGTGTGTGTGTGTCCCTTTGACGAGCCGCGGGTTGCCGCATCTGATCAATGAGTGGGAGAGAGATAGACGATAAAACGGCGGCCTGTCAAAGCCGAGTGTGCTCCTTTGACGTGCCGCATCTGAGCAATGAGTGCGAGAGAGAGAAAGGACAAAACAGCGTATGGACCAATCCAAGTTGAGCCTTAGTCCCCGTTTACGGCCGTTCTATCCAGGGCTCATGGTTGGAAAGCACTCCGGTGTTTTTTTGGGGCACCCGGAATCGGGCTCGCCACTCCCACCGCGGACCAAATTACGAGGCCCAGCCTGTAGTTTTTGTTTTTTTCGTGTGTTATTCGTAGATATGCTAGTTTTAATTGTTACTGCCGTATAATTGAAATTTTTGTCAAATTTAGCTTCTAATCGATGTTACGGTGAGTCGCCATCTTGTTCGTTAATATACGGCCCTAAGAGCATCATGAAGCCTAAAAACTCGTTGACCAATCAAAAAGCGGAACAGTTTTCCTGTAGTAAAAAGATACAAATGGCCATACTCTGTCTATAAAGGTACTCTATTGAAATTGCGAGCAAAATAATCTGAAGAACTGGGAGAAAAATAATCACAAGTTTTCTCTAAAATGTGTATTTAATCAAAGGAAATGTGGCAACGCTTGAAGGTTCAATCGGCGTTTTTCCTTAGCACGGTATGGAAAGCTAATTTAACCACGGGGGTGGTTAAAGTAGCATTTTCTTTTTGTAAAATCTACATTGCAACATCGCAGTCACCTCTTTTTACTGCAAAATTGTTGAATCAGGAATTTAATTTCTTCCGTGCATGCTTACGTAGAACGATGTATGAACCTTCAGGCGATGAAAAGTTTCCTTTAATACAGAACGAATTTATTAGGAAATTGCAGTCACCTTTTTTTTACCACAAAATTGTTAAATCAGAAATTTAATTTTTTCCGCGCATGCTCCGGCAGAACGCCGTATGAACCCTCAGGCGTTGCCAAGTTCCCCTTGAAGAAATTTTTAAATATTTTTCTTCCAATTTTTTAGACAATTTTGTTCGCAATTTGATCTAAAAATCTCAAGGAAAAATGTGCATAACTTTTCCCAAAAATACGTGTTTTATATTGAAAAAGTTGGCAACTGCTGAATGTTCATACGGCGTTCTTCCTTAGCAGCAGAGTGGATCCGGCCACTAGGAGAACTCTAACAAAATATGCACACTTTAAAAGTTTATAACTCCGTTCTTGCAAAACTTTGAGCGTGTTAAATTGCTTCCATTGGTTTCCTCGTGAAATTTTCCTCTAAAACACTCCTTAAAAATTAAAATGTGACGAATTAGACATCAAAATTCGCAATTTTTGTTACACATTTCATGTCGGACCTCTCTGATTGACTTGATTTACTGTGCGCCGCCGCGCCGAGCCGCGCACCAGCCCGAGTCAATGAGAGAAGTTGGACGAAATCTTAAAACTTCGAAAGCTTATTTTTCGAAAATATGAAACAACATTTCCGTGCGTGTCAATCCATCGCGGTTTAACTAACTCAAAATTCTAAAATCGAGATGGTCATTCTAAGAAAATGGCAACGGGCCATGGATATAAGTCCTGTTCAGATTACATCCATAGGCTCCTTTACTTATAGCGCTTTTCAAACTTTCTCAGATCGGAATTCAAGAAAATTCATCGAAAATATGCTCGTCCAAAATACGTTAGTTCCAAGGTCATACGATTTTACTGCGAAATGAGCCAATTTTCCCTAGCTTTACCTACCTCAACATTATCTCGGTAAGTGAGTCATTATCTTTATCTTTTCACATCTATCTTTCACATGCATCTCATCTTTTTACCTGTCTCAAATTATTGCTATATAAGAATGTATAGGTATCATGCTCTCATCTTTTTTTGCGGACATCAAGCGCGTAAGTATTCGAACGCCGATGTAGGTATGTGATGTGGTATCCCGCCGAAATGAAGGAACATCTTAGCTTTTCATCTGTCTCATGCATGTTACTGCTATATCGTCACCTTCCAGGCAAAGTATCACAAGCGCCATGCGACGTTTAAAAATTTCCACCGCCATTATATTTTTTTACAGAGAAATTGTTCAACGAAGCTGTCCGAAAATTACACCGAATTTTCTTTGTGCTGCCGATAAAATTTAGTGAAATTTTCGAACAGATTCAACCAACAATTTATCAGTAAAAAAATAAAATGGCGGCGGAAATTTTTAAACGTCGCATGGCGCTTGTGATACTTTGCCTGGAAGGTGACGATATAAGAATGTAGGATTGTGGGCAACATGCGCGCATCTCCTTTTTGCGGCAATCAAGCGCGGAAGTATTCGAACGCCGATGTAGGTATGTGACGTGGTATCCCGCGGAAATGAAGGAAAATCTTAGCTTTTTACTTGCCTCAAAACGTCTCATGCTACTGCCATGTAAGAATGTAGGCATCATGCTCGCATCTTTAAATGCGGAAATGAAGAGCGGAACTAATCGGGCTCCGAAGTAGGTATTTGATGTGGTATCACGCGGAAATGAAGGAACATCTAAGCTTTAAAAATGTCCTAACTCGCGGAAGTATCCTTTGAAAAACTACCGTTTCCACATTCCAGATTCAATGCTAGAGAAAGTGGCTTTTGATCAGTTGCGCAGACTCCATTACTAATAGCGCGTCAATTAACTTTCGGAAATAAAAAATTGAAAATATTCCGTAGGCTCGAAAATATCGGGCATACTCAATGAAAAATCGAAATTTCGCGCTGCGTATGGTCATCCGTGACGAATGGCAAGAGAGCATTGATTTTCGTTCTTTTCCGACAAGGCGCATCGACAATACCGCTTGCGAAAATATTGTGCGAAAAAGTCCTCGGAAAAACAATTCTCGACCGGCAAAACTGGCATACAAGTACGGATTTTATGTCGTTTTCGAACAATTTTATCGACTCAACCAGTTATAGAGACTTTATTTAACTTTCTTGTATCGAACATGGAAAAACTTCCATACGAGCAAAAATATCTTTCGAAAAGAAAACTCAAAATTCCTTGCATCGGATGGTCATCCGGAAAAATAGAACGGAAGCACAGATTCTACATTATTTTCAGACTAGATGCTTCGGCTCAACTCTTGGTAGCCCGTTCTCAACACCATCGGATTGAGACTTTAAAAAAATTATGATATATCCCAAGTAGCATGGATTGCAATTTCATTGCAATGGATTGTGAGTTGATTGCAATTTTTGCTTGTTGCCTATACGTTCATTTGAAGGCGCTTAAAAAGTTGCAATTTTATTGCAATAAGTTTGCAAGAAATGTAGATTATGCTTGTTGCCTAACCTTCTTTTTCAAGGCACTATAAAGACTGCAATTTCGGTGCAATCATGTTGTAACAAATTCACGCCATGTGCCTGGCATCCAATTCTCTAGTTGTTTTAAAGTTTTTTCGACTTAAATGTCTCACCTAACCCATATAGCCCAACATATTTTGAAAATATCGTCACCTTTATCAAAATATTTTCATGGCAATATTGTAATTAAAATATTTTCAAAATATTTTTAAAACATTTTAAAGGAATATTTTGAAAATGTTTACAAAAAATATTTTTAAAATAATTCAAAAATATTGCCTGTAAACATGCATGTTAAAAATATTCCTTAAGAAAGTTTTGAAAATATTTTGAAAATATTTTTAAGTTCTCAAGTTAGTATGTGGTGTAATTTACACCGGTGTAAATTTAGTGTGAGTACCTATTACGTGATATCGAAAAAAAAAATCAGACAAAAAAAATATGAAAAAAATAAATAACACGAAAAAAATAAATAATAGGCAAAAGAAAGAAGCCTGAGAAAAACGGCGTTAATCAAATCTGTGATGAATGTTGAGCCACGCACTGACGCAATGCATGCGATAACAGCCTTAACAGGCGTGATTTCAACCCAGCTCATTATCAGCTCCCTGTAGCTCAGTGGAAGAGTGCTCCGCTATGACATTCGCGGGTCGGGTTCAAGCCCACTCAAAGGCCTCCGGTATTTTATGCTGCTAAACGTCGTAGGACATTAGGTAAGCATGGGTTCGAATTATTATAATTTCCCCGGAAAATTTAGGGGTTGAAATTTAAAGGTCGTCAATATTGAAATTTCTTTGCAAAAAAAAAAAAATTGCAACTTTTTTACAATGAGGGGGTCAGATGTTGTAAAATAATCGCAATTTTCTTGCAAGAAAGTTGAAATCATCTGGAAATTTTATTTCATTTAAATTGCAATTTTTTCGTTGCAAAATGCTACTTGGGATGTGTATTTCAAAATTCAAAACGCGTGAAAATGTCTTCAGAGAAACGAATGACATTTCCGAGCTCTAGATTCTTAGTCAGGAAAATCTGCATAGTTGAAAGCATGGATTTTTTGTTAATTTCTGACAACTTGTATCGACACCATTATTTTTAGTACCTTTTTAACTTTCTCGGATCTAAGTGACAGAATTTTCACATTCGCGCAAACATCCTCGGAAAAGACTAGAGAAAATTTCGAGCTAATTCAGTCAGTGGCGTGGCGTGAATTGCGATGTATCCATTGTTATGCCATTTAAACCTACATGCATGGTAAAGAACTGATTATTAAGGTTCGTTGCGAACAACCTGTTTATCGAGTCTTTTCCATGGGTTTAACTTGCATAACAATCGATATATCGGAAAGCACGCCACGCCACTGGAATCCAGATTCTCAGCATGAGGAAACCTGCATGGAGATAGACTATCTATTGATTTCCGACCGGACGTATCGACTCCATTATCTATAGCGCGTTTTTATCTCTCTGCTCGGACTTGAATAATATCTAAAGGAGTGAGAGTATCCTTGGAAAAACTAGTGAAAATTCCAAGCCCCAGATTCTCAGCCAGGGAAACCGATACGATACGATACGATTGGATTTTTTTCATAGTTTTCCGACCACTTAAATCCATTGAATACGGGAATCAGGCGCACAGGTATTATTCGGAATTCGGAGTAGGCGTGTAATGTGGTATCACGCGAAAATGAAGGAAAACCTTACAGTTCAGTCAAACTAGCTCTAAAAAAGGACAATCCGAGAAAACCAATCTAAGTATATAAAGTTTCGTTGTGGAAACATATTGCGATGGGTTAGAACAACAAGGCAAAAGTTTACCGGAGTCGGCTGTCCGCTAACGCCACCATCTTGAAAAAAGCCAAAATACGCCGCTGGCGATCGGTTTCTCGCTGGTAAGTACAAATATATCTCAAAAACAATTAACCCTGCGGGAAAATGTCACCTTTCATAAAGCGCACAAAATTTCCTATGAAAAACACAATACATTTATTATTTGTGACTTCCAGTTTATGAGATATCGCGGTAGTTCTCTGCGGCTGGGAAAGTCTAATTTTGCTTGAAATTGCGCGCTCTCCCCACAAAATCTGCAATGGACCACTGACAGGGCCACTGACAATAGAAATGGGCCAGTTCGGCTAGCGAGGGGTTGGCTTAAAAGCTATTGCATCTTAGGTAAAATTTTACCAGAAGAACGATGAGCACGATAAAAATTGTTGAATAAAATTGCTCAGGGGAGAAATGACGATTTTAAAATCGCACCCCTCAAAAACGCTAAATTTGAATCCGAAAGTTTCGAAAATCAACTCCTGAACGAGATATTAGCAAATATTTTTGACACAGGTCAAATGGAAGTTCGATTGTACAAATGACATCATTTGTATTTTTGCCTTTTAACCAATGTTAATAAATTAATAAAACACTTATATCTTGTTTGGGATTCAATATTCTGACTACCCGTTGCACGATTTGTTTTCGAGGTGAAATTTTGAAGAGAAAACATCTTGCGTATGTAGTGTTTTAATTTCTACCTTGTCTAGAGCTCCATTAGCTTAGAAAAGGCAAGTCTGAGAAAAAAAATTGTTCTTAGGAACAATTTCAGTAAGCAATAATTGCAGGAATACCTCATGCATTGCGCTGAACACATTGCGGTCTTCGGTTGGCGCCAAAAGCATATTAGCGCCTACAAGAGTGCGGGAATGCTTCATGCATTGCGCTAAAAACTGAGCGCTCGCCAGTCGGCGCGCGGCGTGAACGTGAAGCGCATATTTAGCGCCTACAAGACTGTAGGAGTACTTCACGCATTACGCGTTCACTACAGTGCGCGCTTAAAGCGCTGAATTTAATATCTCGGTGCCGGCCCCACCGAGGTCTACACCACGTCACCACATCCGGTAGTGTGCACCCCGAGCCTGCAATCGTGATCGCGATAAGTTGGGATTTGATCGGAAAATGCATCACGATTTTTTCGACACCGATTTATTGCAATATGATCGAATAAAGAATTGCGATTTCATCGCATAAATTTGCAATGAATGAAATAGCGATTTCATCGACGGCGATTTATCGCAACATTAAAATAAAAATAAAAATCCTGAATCCTGTTTATTAAATAAAAATCCTGATAAATTGAGATAGGTACAATTCTGATTTTATCGGACGTGATTTTATAGAGATAAAATTGCGACAAGATCGAGAGAAATCGCTGAGATGTTGATGATCCTAATAATTTTATCGCCAAGAAATCGTAGAAATATCGCAACCTAATTTCAAAGTATTGCGATTTTTCCCTTTGAAAAATGCTACGTCTCCTCATTCACTGTTTTGAATAGACTTTTTGAGCGGTGCCAGACGTGTAAAAAAGATGGATTAGTCAAAGAGCTTCTCACTTTGGTTCCCTTGTGGTTGAGTGTATTAAACTCATGAAAATGACCGTTCTCAGTAAAAAAAAGTGCTAACACGTCCAGCCCTAGGCCCTGGCTTATAAGGATCACTTTGAATGATGATGGCTGAATGACGGACCCGAGGTCACTACTGTTCAAACCCTCCCTGAAATTGGAACCTCCTTATATACTTTTAAGTATGTTGTTGAATTTTCAAAATTACATGTGTGTTGCAAAATGAGGCGATTTCATGGCCTCAATAATAAAATAATAATAATAAAAAAAAAGCACGTCAAGTATTGTCAGGTCGTTTCTTAATATCGAATAATTTTTTTGATTTCGCTTAAAATTTAATTTTTTTAAAATTTTTTTTTAAAATTTTACTTTAAAATAACGTTTACCCTTTTTTTTCAAGCAAGATAGTATGTGTTACTGACTTTGGCCTGTGGCCCGTCAGTAATACTTGTGCCGGAAGTGTTCCCTCTTCTGAGTTACAAAAAAAAAAAAAATAAAAAAATAAAAAAAATATCAAATAAAAGTGAGAAGGAAAAAAAAATGTTGGATGGTTTCAAAGCCAGCACAGAAACAGTACCTAACTAAGACAGGACATGAGAAAAAAATAAAAAAAAAACCATCATCACTTTTGAGGTAGAAAGAAAATATAATATCTAATTAAACATAAAAGTAAAAAATTTACAAGAACAAGAGAGTATTAAGTCTAGAATTGTTTTGCCTCCAGTTAAATAAGAACAGAGTTTGTAATATTAAGCAATTAAAGGAATCAAATGTGAAGAAAATCTGGTCCGAGCATATTTTTATGCGCTGACAAAATCACAAAACATGGATAATCCTGCCTTCTAATTAAAACAAATCAGTGATGTGCGATCAAAACTTCTTTCAAATACAATGCAAGAAATAAAGCTTAACAGTATTTACTGAATTTATTCATTAGGAGAAATAGGATGATTTCAATAGTTTACAGTTCGTATCCATTAAATCAAATGTAAGGGGATTGAGATACATGCCAGGCTTACCGATCACAAAAGAAGAAAGTTTCAAAAATACATCCGAGAATGTCACACATCTCTTAAAATACAGTGATGCAAAAGTAAATGTATGGTATTTGATATGCTCCCCCTCCTAATACTCAAGGGACAAAGAAAATTTCTGGAATAGAAAAAAAACCCTGATTTTGCTAGCAAAAATATGAAAAGAAACAATTTAGTGAATCCAATTATACAATGATCCGAAAGGAGGGTGACTTGCAAGTTTACAGTGATACTAACAGAAGAAAATATTTAAACTTGAAAATTTCTAGGGGTACTCGACAGATAATAAAATTGAATAATATGCTATGACCTAGGCTGAAATGGAAATACTAGAGAGAAATATCTTCTTTTTTTCTCACATTTTTCAATGCGAGCTTCCTTTTATTGACAAATGTGAAATTAAAAAAAAAAAATTTCCATTTAGAAACATTCATGAGCTTGTAAACAAACCTCACAGGTTCGTTTACCAAATGAAAATATCAGGTAAAGATAAAACAAAGTAGCTCACTTCAGAGCAATGTTTCAAAATCTCTAGTTATATGTATTTTATTTTTTGAAAAAAAAAACTGACCACAATATCTCCTTGAAATTTTCTAGGAATATTTTTGGTTAAAAGAAGAAAAATTTCAAGGAAAATTATCGGTCAGTTCTCTTTTAATGAAATTGAAACATAGCAGAGAAAGGTACGCGCTTTTTCACTTTGACCATCAATGCAGTCGTCAGAAATCTAATTAATCAGATTTTTTCTTCTTCTTTTCGCCCCTCATTGTAGCTCTTCCGACCTTGCAGAGTTCTTTATTCAAACACTCAGAGCAATGAGGTCCTACCGGTCGACAAATCGACTGACCGAATCCGACGAGCAAATGATTAACCTCACTCCACAGTTCCCGAGGAAGCCAGGCCTCAAGTGCAAGTCGTGTCTGTTCTGGCTCTTTTGTTGGTTTCTGAACCCACGGAAGCCAGTTTGAAATTCGGTGAACATGAGTATCAACGCCTGGAATGAAAATTTTAAAATAAAATTAGGAATAACTACAGCCTTCAGATCAGTGTTCTAAACCCACAGGCGCCTTTACGCCAAATGCTCCTGAAAAATCAGCTATAGCCCCTATAAAATGAGGACACTCATCAAAAGCAGCCCATGAAAAATTGCTGTAATCCTAATTTTTTGGCAGGAAACTGAACTAGTAAAGCAAGCAGTGACACTCATATACCTTACTTAAAGGCTCTCACTAAATGTGCTGGGCTACAAGCAAAAATTCAATTTGACCCCTAAAGATTGTTTGATAACCCTTAAAAATTGAGCTCAATGGTGGCTAAGGTGGCTCCTGAAACCCAAAGGTGAGTTTGGAGCACTGCTAGCGAGTACACTACAGTGTCTTTAAAACTTCCTACCTACCAATTTCAGGGTGCAGAAAGTTTCAAGTTTTCCAAAATCTTTAATTGGTTTCCCTCATTTTTGACCCAAATTCATATTGATTTGTTGCATTTTAACTAAGGAAAAGATTATTACCTTTACAAATGTCGAAAATGCTGATATTTCTCTTGTAAGTTTAATTTCACATTCAATTAGTCCACTATCTTCTGCATGAAAGTCGAAAGAAAAAACATGTGGTGTGATGTTGGATTTTTGACCTTGTATGGTAGTCCACTATGAGTAAATATGCAAAATAAATAAATAAATAAATAGTATCTTGCTTACGCAGATTTTTTTGTCACCTAACCTTTAAATGAGGCTGACTTTGTGGTACTTGGTTTTTCTTTCATTTCTTCTCACTTTCCTTCACAATCATTTTAATATCAAAAAGTCTGTCGATAGTGAAATTAACTCTTACCAATGCCTGTAACGATGCCCCAGCCACAGTTCATAGCAAGGTGCGCCATTTTGGGCCCAACTCCTGGTAATTTACAAAGGTCTTTAATTGTATTAGGAATATCACCGTTGTAATCTTTCTTCAGTATTTCACAGGTCTGTTTGATATACTGCACTTTGCGCTGAAACAGAAATGAGGATTATAAAAAAATAAAATAACCAATATTTTTCTGATTCAGAACTTTTCAACTTTACCTACTCTCTTTATTCTTCTCAATTGCTTCCTGTTCCACTTTTCTTTCCTTCGATTACCATTTTACAGTGTCTTACCTTTATCTTCCTTTGTATTACCTCAATTTTACATTCGCTCAAAGTAGTTCTCTGTCTTATGCTCACTCCCACATCTCTCGCTTTTCATCAAAGCCCACATTTCCTTGGCATGATATTTTTTTCATACCTAATACATGCTTGAACATAGAAAAAGTCCCATTTTCACTACAGAGACTGCTTGAGTAGATTGATGTAGTACGTTTGATTTCGCTGTTTAAAATGAGCTAGCCCTTTGCTAGTTCTGATTTATAAGTTTTTTCTTTTATTTTGGACAGCAGAAAGCAGAAAAATAACTGATAAAAAATTTGCTGATAGAAACTTTGATCTAAGAAAAAGCTATAGTTTACTCACCCTCCAAAACCCAACTGGGTAAATCAGTTTGCCAAGAGTGTCATTGTCCATTAAAAGGAGACTATCTACAGTGCAGCCTGAGTGCTCAATCAGTCGTTCAACGGCAGCATGAGTTACTTGATCCTTGGTCTGACTTGACAGCATCAGAGAAATTAAAACATGGAATCGTCTTACCTAAAATGAAAAGAAAAAATAATTCTCTTTAATTGCCTCAAACTATACCAGGAGAGGGAAATCACAAATGCAAGGACGTTTGATGGTTTTCTAGACACCCGAAACATTTGGACATAGAATATTAATTATACATCATGTTATCCTTTTATTGGTAGAGTTTTAGTGCACACTTACTCGTTCTCAGAATTTGACTCCATCCATTGTTAGAATCATGAAATACAATGTAGATGACAAGTGTATGCTGAGAAGGAAATAGAAAATGGCCAGCGAATACCTACCCTCTAAAATGGTCTGTTACCCACGAGAGAGGCGGCCTGATGTTGATGGTGAAACTGCAAAAATGCGTATCTCCGTTGAGGTGTTTTGAATTCTCTGCTCCTATTTTATTATTTAAAAAGAGGCTAAACCAAAATATTGCTTGAAATTTTCACAGAATATTACTAATAGAGGGAAAAGAAATCTTTGAAATCTTCGAAGAATGACGTGTAGTATTTTTCCATTTAGAAAATTAAGTATGACAAGAAATCTGCGACACCGCAAACTGAAAAATGCTTTTCTGCAGGTTTTTATATGGAATTTTTATATTTTATTTTTATTCTTCCGACTGAAAATAGCTCAGTTTTGGACCGAAACGTCTCGGATTTTTATGTGTACTTTTTAGCCTTATTTCTTGTTTTTTTTTTCTCCTATGTTTTTGATATCAACATTGTTACGGGCTGCTGCTCTAGAAATTTCAACCTATAAACAGTTCAATACTCACCTCAGGTGTGGCATCATCATTTGAGTTCTTATCGCATCCCATATCGTCGACAGGAGCATATGTGTTCTTCCGCATTTCGCGGATATTGGCAAGGACCTCCCTCCAGTGTGGTGGTTCCCATTTGGACGGCTTCTCTTCCTCTTGCCAGTACTCAGATTTCACCGGGTCAGCAGACTTGCTTGCATCCCCTTTCGAATCAATTTCTCCTTCATATTCCTCCTTGATTTCTTTTTTGATTTCGAACGTTCCTGGCTCAGCTTTCACCATTGCCCCAACTTGTTTGCCTTTAGCTTTTGAGCCTTTGGTCCCAGATGGCACACCATTTTCAATTTTCACTACTGGCTTGTCATCGGACGGGTACTCAATTTTGATTTGCTTCCTCCTTCTTTTCGGAGGAGCAACAGGCGCCTCATGGGATTCCCCAGACGCACCAGCTGAAGCAGAAGATCGAGTGGTTGGCATTTTGCAAAATTGTTGAGTCACTAAATATCTTACCGCAGAGGAGGAAAATACTGATATCATGCAAAATCAATCCTTTAAAACTCTTTATTTCAGACAGCAGACAGCAAACTGTTGAAAGGTCCTCAGAGAAACCTCGAATTCATTAATGAGGCTTCAATGGCACGTACTAAAATGGACAACTAGTGTTTAATGAGAAATTTAATAACAATACTAAGCAATGGCTACCTAATTTTCCGCCAGATTTTTTACAGTAAAAACAAAATTTGTAATAAAATTACGACAGTACAGTATACACTCACACGTGAGCCCAGTGAGCCGCAAGAAGTGTGTTTACAAACTTTCAGATGCAAGTGATGCAACAGTGGAAAACTAATTTTATGTTGAGTGTGGTCAGGGATGCCGAACTTTTTCTTATCTTTTATTATTCCTTACAGTTTACATTTGAAAGTTGAAAATAATGAAAAAATCATATCTAAAGAACCGCTTTAATTTTTGATCCGAGATTTTAGTTTATTATGTGAGATTTAAAATGAATTTGAAGCACTGGAAAATTGTAACGGGTAAATTTTTTGTCATCATACGTTGCAAACTTGTAGCAATGAAATCAATAAACAATCAGCTGTTGACCTTGTGTTTAATCAAGTTCTTGTCGTGAAACATCTTTTACCGATCAATCAATTTGAATATCGCTTCATTTTACACAGTTTTTTACCCCCAAAAACCTGTACCTTAAGTGACGTGTTATGTTATCAGTCATTTCGGAAACTCACTGGCTCTCTGTCCTATTTCCGTCATGATGTAACACCCAAGTGTTTTTCCTGCCGAAGTAAGGTTATGTGTGAATTAACTCTCCAATATTTATGTTTTGAGGTGCTACAACAAATGTTTTAGAGAAGCTTTTTAACTCCAGTCATATTTGTCGCCTTCTATTTTCATGATGGAAGAAACCGCAGACTCCAAAGACAAGACCGCCAACTCCTTGAAGGATCTTGCCGATGACAATGGTAAGTTCTCTTCACTGATTGCTTTCTCTCCGTTCTTTGTCATGGAACGACTCTGAAACAATGGGGCTTTTGTCCTGGTGAATTTTGGCAGTAGCATTTTCACACTGCCAAACTGTAGTCACTAGGAACCATTTTCAGCAGTTGATAATTTATGAACTAGTATTCAGTGGTATCTTGAGTATGCAGAGGCATTGACGCAATGTTGGATCCAGACTGAATAGTGACAAAGACATATTGACCATAAAACTAATAGAATCCTAATTTTAATACCTTGGTATATCTTTTGTCTTTACCTAGGCGTAGTAAGTTAAATTATTTTGAGAGGTACCAATTACTGGGTCAGTTCACAGTAGGAAGTGGTACATCTTATGGTTTTCACCGTGCGACAATAAAATGTAATCACAAATGTGCACCATACTTATAGATACGGCATATTTAGAAGTTACTGCACATAATCAGGTTATCATTTGTCTGCTTTTGAGCAAGCATTTAACTTCAATATGGTCACAATGCAAGGAACATGATTTGGTAAAATCTCTCGACGCCAGTCAAAAATGTTAACGTTTAACAAATTTTATTACAAAGAAATGTGAGTCAAAGTTGATTCTGTCAATATTTATTTGATGAGGAATTCTGAAAGTTTTGATTTCAAGACTGGAGAACGCTGAAAATGAAGTAAACACAGATGGTTGTTCGTACCAGTAGTCAGTTACTTTTTAGTGGTGAAATTCCCTAACTACCTATCTTGTTTGTGATTCTGTTAAATCTCCACTTTTCTTTTATTCTTTTGAAGGTGAACAAATCAAAGTCATTCCTTGAAGTTTTACAGAATTTTCTTCCCACAGAGAAGAAAAATCAGCAAAGTTTTAAAGAAGTGACATTGAGTAGTTTCCTTTTTAAAAAGTTAAGTAGGTACTACAGAAAATTTGCAAGATCACAAATCAAGATTTGCCGTTTGGGAAACTCACTTTCCAAATATAAGTATGAAATCAGAACCAAGCAAAAATGATTAAAATACAACAATATGATGGAGATCAAAGTTAGGAATGCATTAATAACACCTGCTTTTGCACAGCACAAGATAGTTGGAAGCCTCCATTGTTGGTAGATAGTAAAAAATCAAGAATTTTTTCCCATTCAAACCCGTGTAAAATATTCACATTTTATTGCACAACTTGGCAACCCTGCAACTCCGTCAAATCCTGCTATAAAATGTGGATATTTTACATGCGTTTAAATGGGGAGAAGTGCTGATTTTCAGGACTCTTTAGCAACAGAGGTTGTTCAATTGTGCAATAAAATGTGGATATTTTACATGGGTTTACATATGGAGAAGTGCTGAATTTCAAGGAATATGTGGCTACTCCAACACCTCTCCCCCTCCATCCCAAAGCAAGGTACCCTTAGGCAGTGGCCGTAGGCATACCTTCCACTATCATGAAATGTAACTTACTTACTTATTCTGTGTAATTTACAGACAGCAGAATTTTAATCTAAATCAATTGAACCCCTTTTTTCTCCCCACCATTTCATTACCAACCTCACCTGTCTACTTTGCACTGAATAGAGCACACCTGTGTAAACGCAAACACAACTTGGTGCCTGGTGAACCCACTTTGCCCTGTCTAACTATTTTATCTTTATTTTCAAACCCAGGGGATGGTTGTATTTTTATTTTGCATCACTCATCAATTATTCTTGTCGCGAATTTAGTGCACTTTTTCCCGTTATTCTTCTCTGTTCGTCTCTTTTTTGATATCTTGAATGTATTTACTTTTGGTAATTTGTACATGTGATCAAATATTTTCTGTAGGGAGGTATTTCACAAGGTAAGGAGCTTATTTGTACATCAGTGTGAAACCTGCTAAAAAATTATTGATAAAAGTTACTGATTATTGAATATTTAAGTACAGTTTGAGAATGTCTAGTGTCTGTGTGTTTTCCAAAGCTGGGGAATCATTCTTTTAAGTGTCAATGGAATGATCGTAGGTGTTCTAAGATGTTGGTCATAGTCGTTGGTAAATGGATAATCAAGATCTGTCCCATATTAAATTTTATCACTTTAGTTTTTTGATACTGACAAAATGAGTGATTAATTTCAGGAAAATTAAGATTCTTAGCAATGGACCACTTAACAAGGTACGAATTTCAGCATTCTGATACATGTTTCCTAACCAAAATTTCATGTAGCACAACGAAAATTACCGAAATTAACTCCTTAAGAAGATATTTAATGATTCTTGATGCGTGAATTGAAACCACCCGCTCATGAAAACTCAATGCTCTACATCATTCACATCGCGTGCTAAACGTTATCATAAACGTCTTAGCGATATAAAAATCTGGCAACCTCTATATATCTCTACCGGTCACTAAAATTTTTTTTTGTATGGATTTTTCCATACTAGCGAGAACCTCATTTGAGGAGAGTTAGTATGGGATCACGCTATGTATCACGCTAGTATGGAAAAATCCATACAAAAAAAATATTAGTGACCGATACCTCATAAAAAACTGCATTTCATATAAATTACGGTCAGAACAAATCATTTGATTTATATCTCTGTCTATAGCAAATTACTTATAGTTTGAACAACACATGGCGGGAAATGAATATTTCTCGGTTGAGAAGCTTGCTGAAACCATTGTAGTGCGCGATTTGACTCATGTAGAGCTTTGAGTTTCTTGTGAGCGGCCAGTTCAGATTCCTCGTAACTAATGTGAAATAAAACCGTTAATATTTTCGCTAAGAGTTGGTTTCAGTAACTTTTGTTGCGCGAATTGTGTTCTATGTGAAATTTTGGTTCAGAAACATGTATTAGAATGCTAAAATTCGTACCCTGTCTAGTGGTCCATTATCATAAGGAGATCTTCAATCATCACTATTTCGCAAACGAGAGCCCTCCAATAAATTCTGAAAAAGTTGGTCACTTGCATTTGCTTGGAAATAGAAGGTTCTAAGTATTTTAAACAGCTATGACCAAAAGAATTCCTGCATCAACTATCATAGAAGTTTTTTGTCGGCATTTTGAGACTGAAGATTATGAAAAAGTATGGGTTTTGTGTTATGTCTTTTTCCTGAGGAAAAGAGGAGAAAATAATTTGAGAAACTGGGCATTGTATGTTTGACTGTGAATGTTCTTCGTGCCATATATGCCATCCTTGCATTTACTTACGCTTTGCCTATAGCTTTCCTTTTTTGCTCTATTCTCTCTGCAGATAGTCAGCTAAAAATTGACTCTCTTTCAAAACTAGTCGCCCAACTCGAAAATGAAAACAAAAAGTCAGCTGAAGAATTTGGAGCCCAGCGTGCTCAAATGAAAGTTATATATCTCCAGAAAGAAGGTAGTGTCTTTTACGTCATTTTACTATCTGTGACCATCAATGGAAAAAGGAACCATAGAGAACATTTTTCATGAGTGCTGCTTTGGCAGCTTGCGTTGAAAAATTGGAATTCGGCAGCCAGAGGATCCAAACCCCCCTGTGACTTAATATTTTTTATGGAAAAATTACTTTTTTGTGAGTTTCAGGAATGTTTACCCTTAGACC